GATGTCGAGGTGAACAGCACCCACTGCTCTCTCCTCACGCGCCAAGCCAGGCTCCTCAATGTAGAAGGCGATCAGGCTGGATAAGCACGATTCCCCCTCTGTAAATCCATACTGACTAATGCCAATCACCCTTTCATCCTCCATCTGTCTGCTAATGGTTTCCAGAATGAGGTGCTCCCTCACCTTCCCAGGCTTTGAGAGGAGTGTGACTGGCCTGCAGGTCCCTCTTTTGCCTGTCTTGAAGATGGGAGTGACATTTGCTTTTTTTCCCAGTCTTTAGGAACCTCTCTCGATTGCCCAAGACCTCTCAAAGATAATAGAGAGTGGCCTTACCAAGTCAGCACTCATGGGTGCATCCTGACGGGCCCCCATGGACTTGAGGACGTCCACACTGTTCAGTGCTCCCTTACCTGGTCCTTCTCCACCAAGGGCAGCTCTTCCTTACTCCAGACTTTTCCATACTCCAGACTTTTCCCCTGGTCTCAGGGGTGTCCTGAAATCTGGTCATACCCGTACAGACCGAGGCCAAGAAAGCATCGAGCACATCGGCCTTCGCCACGTCCCCTGTCACCAGGTCCCCTGCCCCATTCAGCAGCACACCCGTGGTGTTCCCAGTCCTTCTGCTGTTGATGCACTTGTAGAAGACTTTCTTGTTGCCAGTCACACCCCTTGACAGATTCAGCTCTGGGCAGGCTTTGGCTTTCCTAACTCCGTCACTGCATGTTAGACCACGTCTCTGTGCTCCTTCTGGGCCACGTGCCCCTGCTGCCACCACTCGTGCACCTCCTTCGTGTGTCTGAGTTCATTCAGGAGCTCCCAGGTGTTGGACAGGAGCACCAATGACCTGCAGGTGTTCTGAGGAAGCAGGAAGGGAGAGCTTAGAGAGAGGTGAGGCACTGGAACAGGTTGCCTGGAGAAGCTGTAGATGCCCCATTCCTGGAGGCGTCCAAGGTCAGGTCTGATGGGACTTGGAGCAACCTGATCCAGTGAAAGATGTCTCTGCCCATGGTGGAGGGGTTGGGCTGAGTGTTAAAGGTCCTTTAGAACCCAAAGCATCGTGTGATGCTGTGAAATTGTGAAATTTGCTCCTCACCCCTCAGGGTCTGTGTACGAGATCTCAGGCAACGAATGCTGCTTGTCGACGGGTGACCTGCTGAAAATCATGGCTGTGGCACTGCAGAAAGTCATTTGTGAGGACACAGAGACAGGGCAGACAGTGGAGCTGCCACCAACGTTTAAGGGTGAGTGGGGCTGCCCTGTCCCAATCCACTTGCCGTGGGTCCCCTCCTTCCCAGGGAGAATGTTGCAGCCCCCGTGGGCTCAGCCTCATTGTCCCTCAGGTCTTTTCCAGCCTGCCCCAGCCCAAGGGCCGTACCCGACACTGCAGGGACCCTACCTGGAGGGGGGCAGGCAGCAGGGCCTGACGCTGCACCAGGTGCTGGGGCAGTGGGACGGGCGGCCACGGCCCGTGCTGTGCCCCACCATCAGCCCCTGCGCCCTGCTCCTCATCTACGAAGGACACGCTGCCATGCATGGGGTTTCACACAGAGCAAGCGATGCCCCAGCCGAGGCTCAAACCACCAAGTGACTCATTTTTACAATTGCACATCCGAAACCCGCTTTTGTAAGGCACAAGTTGCATTCTTCTCAAGTACAGCCAAACTCGCTTCTCACTCTGGCCTAATTCCTCACCAAGGTTGTAGGAACATTGTGAAAATGCTGTGGCTTTAGGTTTTGCTGGCTTTCTCATCTGTTTTTTCACTGCACTTGCAACTGAAAGCAATGTCTGTCCTGTCCAAGGTGCCCTCCTGCTTGTGAGCTTCCTTGTCGCACTCTTGCAGATTCTTGGCAGCTACAAAAGCCCTTGCTGCATTCACGGTATTGGATGCAAAAAACGACTTGAAAACCAGATAAGGACCAAAGTTCAACTCTTCTTTTCCTGGAAGTTTGGCAAATCCCTGTGAAAGTGGCAGAGACAAATACCTCATAGTCCTGATGTGCATTAAGGGAGAAGAGCTGACGAGGGAGAGCTTTACATGGAAAGCAAGCAGGTGTTCCACTCCCGCATCACACACTGCACTCCTTTCAAATCAGAGCCAGAAAATAAATTTTAAATTTAATTTAAGATTAAATTGTTTGGGTTGGTTTTTTTTTCCCATCCTGGTGAAGAGTAGCTTTGGGTTCAGTTTTTCAGTTCATTATCATTCCTCACTCAGCGCCTAGGGCAGAATCCCAAAGCTGCCGAGAGGATTGCCTGGCTTGAGCCCTAGCTTGGGTTTGGGCTGGCTTCCTTCTCTGGCTCTGCCCTGGGACTTAAATTCAGCATTGGCACCATCTCCTCGAATCAACACTGTGGGAGCGACACTAACCATTGCTGTTGAGGTCCTTTCACAGAATACTCACCCAAGGAGGGAGAACCCAGATCTCACCTGCAAACAGACACCAGCCATTCCTTAACAGCACCTAAATCACAGGATCAGAGAATCACAGGACACGTTTGGGTTGGAAAGGACCTTTAAAGATCACCTGGTCCAACACCTCCCACTAGCCCAGGTTGCCCAAAGCCTCATCCAGCCTGGCCTTGAACCCCTCCAGGGATGGGGCATCCACAGCTTCTCTGGGCACCCTGGGCCACTGCCTCACCGCCCTCATAATAAAACAATCTATTCCTTCTGTCCAATCTAAACCTACTCTTTCGGTTTGAAACTGCTGCCCCTTGTCCTGTCACTACAGGCCCTGGTAAAATGTCTCTCGCCATATTCGCCCTCTGAAAGTATTGAAGGGCCACAAGGTCTTCCCGGAGCCTTCTCTTCTCCAGAATCCAGTTTTTCCTTCTCTTGGGGGGGAAACTAATTGCTGGGGTGAACATGGGCTCCAGGGAAGAAGAGCAGAGCAGAGGAAACCCGAACTGAAAATGCCCGAGTGCCTCCTTGTCTCCTTTATTTGAGCCAAAAGCATTCTGAGTTTGGATTTTATCGCCAGTTCACAGATAGCTTTAAATGCAAACTTTCTGTGAAGCAGACAATGCATCTGTCCCCTAAGACCTGTCCCACATCATCCCTCTAGCCAGACAACAGCAGATGCTCCTGGATGCTTTGAAGATCAAATAGCAGATGGAGACTAGGCAAAGACTTCAACTCCCTTCCCAGCTGGGGAGTTTCCTCTCCAGTCACATCAGAAGGGTTTTGTCCAGTCACACAGCTACTCTCTTTACTGCAATTCCATTCATCTTCACTTCCAAAAAATCATCAGGGATTTTCTTCCTAACCAGCACACCTCCTGCAACCGGGAAATGACAGAACTGTTGGCTTCCAGATCTGCTGGACCCCACCGCCTGGAAGTTCCCGTTACACGTCCACAGCCCCACAAGTACCCTGTGGCCTGCAGCTGTGCCACCAACACCAGCAGCAGATGCCCCGGGTCTGGCAGCCGGCCCCAGAGATGTGCTCACATGGAAGAACCACTTTTTCAAAGCCAGGTCACTTCACCGGGCCCCAGTAACAAAACCCCGGTGACTTGCAGCGCCCGCGGCACACGGAGTCAACCTGCCGTGAGCCCACCAGCGCCAGCCCTGCCTGCACGCGCTGGTTTTCCAGCGGGCCCTTGGGAACTTGGCAGGCAGCAATCAGACAGGTCACCACAGTGCAGCAAACCAGGCTCCCCTCTGGCAGGCAGCAAGCACATTTTGGTCTCGGCGTTCAGTTTGAAAGATGCCAGGTCCTGCTTTTCAGCAACGCATTCACCACGAAAGCCGTGGTTCCTCCTGCGAGAACAGCTTCGTACCTCACACGGCCGTAGTTATGAACTCCTGAAGTGCTGCTAATGCAAATGCAAAACAATTCCCTGAAGGTAGTTTTCAGCTTTGCATTTGATAGAACAGGAAGCATATCGTCACCAAGGAAACAGAAATACAGAAGCAGCTGCCCTCAGCACGCTGCCGCCCTGAACAAGGCAGAGAACAGGAGATGCAAATCTCTTCTCTCCACCCCATCACCAGTATCAACTCTGCCGTTTCCTAACTTAGTGTTTTTCTCTGTTATGCTTTTAAAATAGTTTAAAATTAGTAAAAGTAGAAAAATTTGTTCCACAGGGTGTAATTCATTTTGAGCTTCACTTGAAGTACTTTTGGTGGCAGAAATGATCCTGCCTATATTTGGAACACTGATACAACATGCAGATTTCTTCAGTAGTACAATTATTTAATTTCTTAGTGTCCAGACATTCACTTCACTTTGACCTTTCAAAGCAATTTACTTCAAAAGCAAAGGAAAAAATAAGTATAGCTAAAGAAATTCTGAAAGCATGAGCTGTGTTTTCACCCCCATGGTTGTCAACGCAGATGGTTTTCTTTTTTAGAATCATAGAATCACTAAGGTTGGAAAAGACCTCAAGGATCATCAAGTCCAACCATCAACCCAACCCCACCCAACCCACTAACCCATGTCCCGAAGCACCACATCTACACGGTTCCTGAACCTCTCCAGGGATGGTGACCCCACCACTTCCCTGGGCAGCCTGTTCCAATGTTTGATCATTTGATCATTTAGGGAAGAAGAACATCCTGCAGAGCCACACACACATGCAAGACTACCCAAGTTAAAATTTTATTGGAAACATTCAAAAGCTCTAGTAACAAGATCACCTCATAGTACAAATATAGATTTAAATGCATAAACTAAACCAAATAAAAATCTATTCATGATTACTGTACATTAATGGAATATTGCTCTTGGCTACCCACTTTGTGAATGAAATGGAATGAAAGCTGAGTTAGGAGAAACAGCTCTAGAAACAAAAGACAATCTGCCCAGGACAAGATCAGGAAGAGGTCCTCCTTCCTAACACAGGCATCCTCTAAGGAGGCAAAAACAAAGTGAAGGCTCTGAAGCTTTGAGGAGTTCAGTTTTCCCCTATCTGTTTATGCTTTCAGTCACATGGTCACAGCATATAATCGAGTCCAGTTAACAGAATCCTAAACATTCTGCTGGCCCTTAAATTCCAAGGAGGCACCCACAGAGTAACGGGGACTTTCACGGGCTAGAAAGAGCAAAGATCACCTTCCAGATTGCAAAGCTTGGCAGGATAACTCAATACATGGACAAGCTTAGAACCAAATCCAGCTGCAAGTAACTTCACTCAGCATCTGTTGACTTATAGTGATCATCATCCACAGTGGAGTAGATGTGTCCCTCACTACTAAGGAATTCAACGGCTTGCCTGAGGGAAAAAAAAAAAAAAGCAACTGCTGACTAATTCGTAACAAGACATTCTCTCAGGGATTTCCCATTTATAGATCCCATCCCTTCTGTTCCCTTCTGGCTTCTGCCAAAGGAAGCTCCTGCTGGCTCTGTCCTGTGAGCAGTTTAAGTGCTGCTCCACCTGCCAGCAGGTACAGAAAAAGCTTCTCCAAAGCTACGCTGATACACCCCCCAGCAGCTCTTAGACCGCCTGCCACAGAGGGGAAGGCCACCACCCTCAGGACCTCCCAGGTAACAGCAGTACCTACATCTCTGCCTTAAAGGGGACAAACACAGAAAAATATGGATGTTAATTACTGTCTTCAGGCTTCACTGTTTTTCTAAGTCTCAGGGAGAAGTTATAATAGATGGCAAAGGAGGAGAGAACAGGAACAATCTATTCCCAAGTTCTGATCGGTGTACAGAGAGCAAGGCAGCTCTTGAACAGGAAAAAATACTGCTGAGACACTGCGGTACTCCCAGGGACCTATTACTTCACTACTGAACCATTAAAGAGCTTGTTTTGAAAATAGGGAGCAAAGCATTTTATCACCGCTTCAACTGACAATGGTTCATTTTAAGGTGTTGAAGACTTCAAAAGCTCTGTCTCGTCACTGCATCCTACTGGGAACAGCTGAAACTACCAGCACTGTTTCACAAGTAAGGATCTGACCTTGCCCACAATTTTTCTCTGTGTCCTTTTATCAGACTCCAAGAAGGACTGCCTGCATTTCCAGAACATCCTTCATTTCTACACACTTACTTGATCGTTGCCATGCTCATATTGTGGAGCTGATGTTTCAACTCTTGAAGGCTCATACCTTCTGGGACAGGGCAGTTTTTAATCAAGTTCAGCACCTGGAAAAGCAAGAACCACCATTAGCACACAGCTAAGCTTCTCCATCATTGATGGACAGCAAGGGTGAGGAAGAACTACCCATCTTCATAGTATAACTGAGCTGGCATTTCTTCGTCCTACATCATGCCGCAGCAGCCTCTGCTGCAACTTCCGTGTTCCTGGAGAAGCTGCTTGCATCTACCTGACTCTGATGCGCTGTGAGTCCATTCACTGGCAGGCTGCCACCTCCTCCGTAGCCCCCCATGTCACTGATCCCAGCAGAGGAAAACGACTGAGGCACTCTCGATGCCGACTGCAATTAGGAGAGTGAAACTGCTGTGGTTACACAGGCTGCAACAAGCCCAGGGCACTAAAGACTTAAGTGTTATTTCAGAGAAAGAGTAATTAAAAATAGATTCCCAAAATAAACCGCTGGAAATGGACTGCAACGCAATCTCTCTCCAAGGAAGCCAGAACTCCTGTCACACCTTCACTGTAGCCCTCCAACAGCTTCAAGCTTTCCAGCCCAGAACTTGGATACAATTTCCACAACAAACCAATAAGTCCCTCTCTTTGGGAGATAACCAGTAACCCAGTAAGGACCAAGATGGAATCAAGATCTTCAAGTACATACCATAAGATTTTTTCTGAGGATCATATGTGCATTCACAATCTCTAGTATATGTGTGGTGAATTCATTCATATTTTCCAGAGGCATGATCTTAAATGCCACCAAGCTTTTCTTATTCTTCCAGAGGGGAAAAAAAAAAAAAAAAAAGAGAGAGAGAGAAAAAAGAAAAAAATTAACATCACAGCAACAGGAACATGCTTAACAGCCAATCCCACCATTCTCTCCAGGAACAGGTACAGTGGTGGGTACACACAACTAGTCTGCACACAACTAGTCCAAAATTTTCCTAACTTATGTTTTCATATGTGATTTTGCAAGACAAGCTCTTCCTAACCAGCTGGTAATTAATTGCACTTTGCTTTAACACATGCACCATTAATTGAATACATATTCCTATATTTAGTTATAATATTTAGTTATGAGGCAACCACATCACACAACATGCTGCCAGATGCCTCCCCGTTAACCAGAACCTGGTCTAAGCTCTATGGCACAAACACCCAAGAGCCTGCTGGCCAGTAGTCTGTTCTGCAGAAACAATACGCTGACAAAGAGCGGCATTTTAAATGGGTCCTTTGCATTTAGGAACAATTAAAGTGGTAGTAAATACAGCCCTGGCAAAAACCTTGAAGGATTTGTCCACAGGAAAGGATAAGCAAAGACCATGATTAAGTGGATACTCAGAAGGGCTCCCTTTAGAACAGCCCCCACTGTGCCAGATCACCAATGCTTCACGCCACTGCTCCAGCCTCGTGCCTTGGAGTCAGACATGGGTAGCACGATCTTACCTGGAAAGACCGAAGATGACCAGCTACTTTTACGTAAGTTCCTGGAGGTACCACAACATTCTCGCTACCTGCCTCCTAACAGAGACAAAAAGGAGAAAGGAAGGGTTTGCTGATTCACGTTCCCATTTCTCATTTATCACAATAAATGACTTTAGGAAAGGAGGCTTAGCTCAGGCAAACACAAACGGCACGCGTTCCTGTGTCCAGTAAGAGCAGTTAGGCAAACATAACTGCAAATGAAAAACAGAGAAAATATTTGCTCATTTGAACGCGCTATACACTTCACAGCAAAGCCAGTCACATGCTCTGCTGTCTCTGTCCACTTCTGAGGAATTTTCACAGAGCAACAAGAAGAAAATACCCTCAAATAGCAAAAAAGCAGGTGTTCAACTATGTAACTTGGCTGGGGGAATGGGAGCTGGCCAGAACCTTTTTTGAAGTTATGCTAAATTTGCACTCAAGCCAACTGAATGTCTAATTACTCTCCCAAAGTCTAACACGGGCTAGCTTTAAAGGCCTACTATACCAGCAGTGAAAGTGACCAGCACTTCAGGAGGCATCCATCAGAAAACAAGACAATATTCATCAGTACACATCTTCGCCTCAGTCACTGAGCCACACAGAAAAATCTCCGTTCACTCCCTTTCCTTACATTTCCACACAAAGGTGCTCAGCACGCAACTCTCAGTTCAGCTATGAAGTAACAGTTGAGTTTCAGGAGCTAAACTCTAAAAAATTATCCAAAGTGATTCAACATAGAACCGCATATGAATTACAAAGCAGGACAAGACTCGCATACAGCACCAGTGACCTCTGCTACAGCAGCATCTCCCTTGGCTTTCCGAGGTAAGCTATTCCCAAAACACTTTTGAGAACAGCCCTTCTGGTAAGTTTTCTCTTTTCCCCCTTCCCAAAAGCTTTCAACAAAGCATGTTCCCCAGGAATGCGGTGCTTACATCGGTATCGACCCACTGCCTGACATCCATCGGGGCTGCCGTCATGTCGTCCACTTTGTAGAGGATGTTTGTCGGTGCCTTCTCGGCGTGCCGAATTATCCCCATGATGGTGACCTGCGGGGGAAGAGGGCAGAGCTCACCCGGGAGGGGCCCAGGCAGGAGGCTGGCTGACCCCCAGCCTGCCCGCTCGCTGCTGGCCCCCGGCGCCCACCTGGGAGATCTCCACGTCGCGGATCCGGAAGGTCTCGTCGACCTGCTCGGCTGCCAGCAGCTGGGACACGGTGCAGGGCACGATGTTCTGCGAGCGGATCCTCTGCAAGGGCCGGCGG